ACAGTATTCCACACAGGGACGAATAAGAGATTTGTAGAGGTAGGGAATGGAATCAGGAGAGAGAAAATGATGATTGAGATAAAAAGAAGCAACCTTAGCAGATGCTAATTTAGCAATCGATTGTATAAATGGTTTCCGTGAAGTCATTAGTAAATGATAATCCAAGAAGACTTAAAGAAGTGAAATCAGTGAGAGGGTGGGTACTCATCAATATAGGAATGTCGACGGTACTGTAATAGTTATTTGTCTGACAGCAAGTTATTTGACTAAGATAGAATGTGAGAAATTTGTTTATCAAAGACTCAAAGACCTTGCTAATAACAGAAAGAAGACTGATTGGACATTAATCGGAGGGGTCAGTATGTTTACCAGAGTTTTTAAAAATAAGAACAACAGATGCCATTTTCCAGCAGACAGGAAAACAAGATTCAGTCAAGCACTTATTAAATAGTTTAGAGAAAATTTAAGAGAGTTACGACAATTTTTTAAGACTGTGACAGGAATGTTGTCTGGACTACGAGCCATAGAAGAGTTTAATCGAGATATGATTATGAGCAATGAAAGCTGAAATGATTTGAATGTTTAACAATGGTTAACCTGTTTAATTAGAATGGAAGGAAGATAATGGCCATAAGATTCGAGAGTCGGATTAGAAGAGAATTTCTTTGCAAATAGTTCAGCCTTATTTCATGTATTTAAGTATAAGATATTAGAAAAACTCCATTAGCTAGCCAGTTAAAAAAATGTATATTTTTTTAACTGAGTTTTTCTAATTTTTTAAAATAATTGTTTGGCTTTGATTCGGGTCCAATTATTTGTTTACCAGTACCGATTTAAAGTTGTATGGATTTATATTTTCAAATTTTTAATAATTAGTAAATTCATTGGTATCGGCATCGGTATCGGCCTTTTCCCATCTATCGTCATCGGTTGAAAAAGTGATATCGGTACATCACTACTGGAAACCTCATCAGATGTATTTGTATTATTATGTAATTTTCATGCCATTTAAGACAGTCCACTAATTAAAGACGATCACAGAAAAAAAGTTCATTTAAAAAAAATTACAAATTTTTAAATTACCCGGAATTATCCAGGTAATTTTAAAAAGTTATCCGGCCAACGGGTAAAAAAAAAACTTGCAAAATGATTTTTGTATTTTATTACGAAGATCGTAATGATCTTATCATGAAGACTTTACAATGTGATTGGTATATATTATGGTAATGTTAAATATAATTTTATATTATATCAGGGCCGTCGAAAGGGAGGGGCAAAAGGGACATACGTGCCCTAAGCGCAAAGGATATTGAGGCGCCAAAATAATTCCACTGTGATTTTTTTTACAAAAAAGTAAAAAAAATTGAATAAGTAAAAAAAAAAATTAACGAAGACACTAAATCTTATCCAGGGCCGGCGCGAGTAGTTGTCAAGTGGGGGAGGGGATGCAAAGACAACTTTTGCCGACTAAAAAAAAAAAAGACCTCATTTTTTTAAAAATTTGCCGACTGTCTTATCGACATTTGCCAACTGACTCTCTGTGTTTACCGACGAACTTGTTAAATAGGTCAACATTTGCCGACTGACTAGTCAAAAGCGGTCAAATTTGCCCACTAAATGAACGGAAAATCATTGATGGAGGGGGGGGGGGTCGAAAGCAGTTTACCATGAACCCCCATCGAAAGCAGTTTACCATGAACACCTCGTTGACATAATTTTAAATGAATTTGCCAAAGCATTCAATGCAATGTCATACAACAACTTCTTTACAAAATTGATGCCTATGAAGTTTGAGGCCAGCTATTAAACTGTATTTCTAGTTGGCTAGCTAATGGAGAGCAATGAGTAATAATTAGAAAATATACGTCTGAGTAAAAAAGACAAATGGCGTTCCTTAAGGATCAGTTTTTGGATCACTGCTATTTGTTTTCTTCATTAATGACTTACCAAACTGCATTTATAAACATACCAAATTATACGCCAATGATGGCAAGATCATATGAGTTATCAATGTCTATGAATTTTCCTTTGATTATGAAAGAATGCAAGCGGACTCCGACAGTGCTGTAAACCTATGAAAAAACTATGGAAAAAACTGTACGAGCTGTAAATTAGTCCGCATCTAGAATTTTGTATTTGTAAATTTCTCTACTCAAATGTATCCAATAACGCGTAATATTGTTTATTAAACATTTTTGTTATGATCAGAAACTAAAAATACAAGGCTTAAATATTCTCAAAGAACGCAATGACTTTATACTACAGTACATAATTGCTTACCATTTAAGGTTTAGACTTTAAAAACTGTTTCTTTAAGATTCTCATTCTTCTGATTGAAAGATCAAGAACCGTGAAATAAAAAACAACTTTATGGAAGATATTTTGTATCTTAATAGTTTGAAGAAGCCTTCAATTTTTACTTGTGGAAACACTTTAGGGTTTCTCAAACAATTATACTCTAAGGGTCTTTAGCTTATTGTCCAATCTATACGCATTCTAATTCTAACTTGTAAGAAAGAAAAAAAGAGTTTTTTCAATATTAATTTCATTGAGTCTGTTATTAATCCTAATCAGTGAATGTGTTGCAAAAGTGTTATTAATCCAGATGGATTTCTTGAAAATATGAATGTTAACAAACAAAAATAGAAATAAGAAAACAGTTATTAAATTGTATAATTGTACAGGGGCATCTAATTTCTGCTATGGCCCGGGCGTCACGAAAGCTCTCGGCGGCTCTGTATTAAGTACAGCTATATTTTGATATTCTTAAAATCAATATAAACTCAAGACAAAAATTAAACTTAAATAAGCTCAAGATAAAAATTAAACATAACAAGATGCAGCATAATAACTTAAATTGTTAAGAAAAAAAATCAAGTGTTTTTCTTTTTTTTTTGGAAAAAATAACTTTTATTGTATTGTTTGAAAAAGGTGAGAATCATTTAAATAATACACATAAACGAGTTAGTTCACTTTGTAGTTAATACATATGTAATTTAATTTATCCATATGTAATTTAATTTATAGTATTTGTTTAAATTCAGTATCAGATTTTTTAACTTTGTCATCAAATTTTAATTATCTGGATTGCGAATTTATTTATTTTTATTACTAGTTTGTTGTATAAATAAGGATCCTGATATGAAATTGATAATTAAGAAAGTTTTTTTTTTTTTGAAGGTGTAATAAAGCTTCCTGTTTCTCTTGTGTTATATTTATTAACGTTATTTATAAAAATTTTATTTAAAAAATGATTTGGTACTTGACCTAATTTAAATTTTAACATAAACAATATACTTTGGTAAATGTTAAATTGATAAATATTAAGCACATTCATTTCTCAAAATAGGGGTTCAGCGTGTGTAAATTTGACTTTATGGTACATTAGACTTATAGCATGTTTCTGACGTCGATATAAAATTTTCAATTTGGTTATATGCGTACTCACTCAAGCTATATTCGCATATATAGGTAGGTATAAAAGAGAAATATATAAGTTTTAAATTACGTGACAACATAGGTCTTGCCTTATAAAGTAGACTTATGTTTTTTGATATTTTAGTGTTTAAAGCATTTAGTGAGCTTTCCAAGATAAATTTCATCAATAATAACACCTAAAAATTTAGTTTCATGAGTTCTCTCAATGATTATATTTTCTATTTTTAGAGAAGGTAGAATATTTGGTAGTGTGTTTCTTTACTGGTTTGAATAAAATAAAGTGTATTTTGCTTTTTCTATACTTAATGGTAGCGTATTTGTTTTAAACCAGATATTTAATTTTTGAAATTCTATGTTTACATTATCATGCAAATCCTTGATGTTTGTCGAAGAATAAAATTAATTTGTATCGCCTGCAAACAATATAAATTCAAGTTATAAATACAACGGTAAAAAGTAAAATGTATATAAATACAATAGTATTTATATACATTTATATTTATTTCTCTTTAATTCTGTTATTTTCTTGAATTAATTTGACTTACAACCAGAAGCGATATAAGGAGGGGGTGGGTGGGCAATGGATGTTACCCCTCCTCCCCCAAAGAAGGTGATTTTTTTTTTTTTAATTTCATTTAGCTGCCCCAAGAAGACCTTACGGTCTTATCACAGAGCACCATGGATGAGCATTTAATTGGAAGTTCATGCCTCCTTCCTAACCGATGTCGCAAAACTTGCCCAGAGGTGGGTTTTAACCATGGATCCTTTGTTTCTGAAGCAAGTGCACTACAACTGCGCGACGGCTGCTCTATTTTCAAGTTATAGTCGGTTTTTTGACTAATTTTGTCGGCTTGTCGGGTATTTGACACAATTCAGTTGGATGATTATTAGTTTTAAGGACTTTTTTTTTTTATTATTATTCTTTTAAGGAACTAGTTGGTACTTTTTTTAAGGATTCACCCCTTTCCTATTTAAATTATTTGTAGAATTGCCTCTGCTTACAACTGACGATTATTTATATAAGAAAAAAAAAAGAACAAGTGTAAAAATAAACAATCATAAGCAAATAAAACAGCATTAATTCAAAAGACTTTTAAATCAATATCCATGGGGAAAAAAAAGAAATAATTTTCGCCGTTGTTCAACTTATCTTTTTGCAGAAAGCTTTTGTATATTCATAGTATTTATTTTACAAATGTTTACATTAGTTCTATTAGTTATTTTAATATTAATGTGTGACATAGGGCGTTAAAATTTTGACATATGGCGTTAAAATTTTGTTTACAAAAAAACATAGCCCTAATTGCTTGCGTAAACTTTTCAATTTTGAGGTATTTGAAAACTAACCTTGAAAAATATCGCACGCTTTCGCAAACAGTATTGAACGCTAAATGCACGATTAAAAACAAACTTATAGCCGAACCTAATTTTTTGATACTATAGAAGACAATTCAAATATATAATGTTTTTTTTAGAGATGCTAAATTATTTTGGTAAAGCAACCCTATGTGTTTATTTATAATTTATTTTAAAAATATAATATATACAACATGAATTCTTACCCACTTTTTAATGTTTGTTCATGTACCTTAACAGGTTAATATCTGTTTATCATATCTTCATATTAAAAAATTGTAACATCTGTTTATAATAAACATAATTGGGACGAAAAAAACATAGCGCACTTGCTTACGTGTATTTGTTTGTTTATGAATAAACTTTTTGTTAGTGAGGGCGCTATTTTCGTTTTAGTGTTTTAAAAAATACATTTTGCTGCTGATTAAGTATTCCTGAGAAACTATATAAAAAGCTTTTTTATAAATAACATTCGATTTTAAGAATTTTTTTTTTTTTAATTATTTTTTCAAAGTTGAGGTTTTTGAAAATTTAAGTATCGTGTAAACAATGAGCGATTAAAAACTTAATCTTAATAATATGTCAAACTTGTTGTTGTCATAGCAATTCAAAAATAGGTAGGTTTAGGTATATTGTGTGAATATATAAATTGTTTACATAAATGAAAAGATTATACTGTTTTATTTGCGATAACTCCAATAGTTTTCTACAGCTGTTTTTGCTCGAGTGTCAAAAAAACAGACTACTCAATATAACTTTGTATTATATAAGAAACAATCAGTCACTAGCGTCAATATTACATCGTGCATATTTCACTAATCTGACATTGCGCTGGACGACTATTAGTATAAAGTTGTTGGTGTGACGTTATTTTGTTTTGTCGGTATGCGAGTGAACTGACGTTGGTATCGACAATCATTGGTCAAACTTATCATTTTATTGGATGACCGATAAACTCCTCAACCTTTACGGAGTTTATTAAAAAAAAATGTTTTCACTGAAAAAAGGTGTCACCCAGAGGATTAAATTAGCTAAGCAATATAAATTACAACTTTTTGGCAATTATTTTATTTTAAATTATTTTCTTATTAATTAAATTTAGCACAAATCTAAACGCGTTACTAAAAAATCACCAAGTAAAGTAAATTGCAAGTCAGCAATTTTTTAAGTATGATAGATACTTGTCCTTGATACGGAATTTTCCAAAAAAAGTATAATAAATCTTTGACCTTAAGAAAACAATTTATAACTATTACAAAACAAGTATTTGATCCAAGGTAAATCTTAAATTACTTTTTAAAAATGAAAAATTTTTGTTTACCAGAAGATTTAGCGTATGGTATATCATAAATGTTTCTTAAGTGTCAGAATAAGCCGAAATGACCTCTATTTTACGGATACAGTTGATAGTTAGTAGGGAAAAATCCAGTGTACTAGCCACTGGATTTTTTTCCGATTTTTCCCGAGAGATTTCTACGTTTCAGTAAATATCTTTGTAACTTTTTTCAGATTATTGCACAGCATAAAGCAAAATGTGGCATCTTGAAGTAAACTTTTGAAAGTGTAAATAAACATACAGTGAAAGGCAACCTCTCATCTCCTGGTTTTTCAAATTTTTAAGAAATCAGTATTCGGAATAACCCTAAATTTTAACCAGTGATAAAAAAATCATTAAAAAAATACATCATTTAAAGACTTATTAATAAATTTAAACATTAAAAAAAGTTTGAAAACTATTTTTCAATATCAAATTTATCAAGCATAAAAACTTTATGCTTGATAAATTTTATAAATAAACTAAATCTTAAGCCTTTCAATAAAAGTTGTTAACATGTAATCTTCTTGTCTTTTGACATGTAATCTTCTTGTCTTTTAAGTCTTTAACAGCTTCACGGCAAGTTTTCATGCTTTCATCTAAGTTTTGAAGGAAATCCTCTGATGTTTCATTCCAAACTTCAAGAATCTTAAATTTCAGATCTTGTTTCGACTAAAATTGTCTACCATTATCAAAAACACGTTTAGCCGTGATTCCCCAAAAGTTTTCGATGGGATTTAAATCTTTTAGCCATTTTTTTTCACCTTTGATGTGTGGATACTTGCACCATATTGCTGAAAAATGAAGTCTTTACTAAAGTTAAGGTGCACAAAAGTAGTTTAAGTATATTATAACTGTTAGCGATCGCTTACAGTTATAATATAATTTTCTGAGCTTTGATTACCATCCTAAAATGTTTAAACTTGTCAAAAGCATTGAAAGCTTTAGATTATCAAAAAAATTGTGTTTCTTGCGCAGGTCATGCCAATAATATTTAAAGCCATCGGGTCCATGCATATTAATTTTTTTTTTATTGGAAAAGATAACATTGTTACATTCCTCATCCTATGATTTATTTTGTGCCAATGCAATATGTTTGGCCTTGTATTTTTTAGTTGTCAAAGACACTCCTACACGTTTTGTAAAAACTAAATTTTGAGATTTATTTAGTATTTGTCAAACGCCAACAGGTAATTGAAGCTGGTGCTAAAAATCTCTGGATGAAGACAACTCTTTGGAAGCTCCTCTTAAAAGGCGTCTTGTTGCTGTTTTGGTACGTTTTGAAGGTTTTTCAGGTCCAATAATTGTATCATAGCCATCGGAATTCATACGTCTCCTGAAAGTTTTATTTTTTTACTTATCTTTATAATGTTAAAACGTTTTTAAATGCAATAATTTGACCACATTTAAGTGACGTTAACTTTGTTTATTTAAACATAATTAATGGCGCGATGATATCGAATTAGCTTGTAAGTAATGTTAATTGTACGAAAGTAATAAAAGTACGTAAATCGTAAAGCGTATATTTACCTAGGGGTAAGCAAAATCAGTCTGGTTTGTTAAAATCGAATTCGGTTGCAGAGATCCGGTTTTGCCAAGTTAAAACTTCCAACTTGGAAATTATAACTAGAGGGTGAGCAAAACCGGTTATTCGGTCCGGTTTGTTAAAATTCAAATCCGATTTTAACAAACTGGACCGGATATTTGATTTTGATGGTTATCTTCCTTTAATTCGTAAAGACTCCATTAGTCACATGCTTGTCCTAGGCATTTACATTTTTAAGAATTTACCCATTTGTCGGAAAAATAGATTTGAATCCACCGATTATTTACTTTATTTACACCCCTAAATTTACTAATTAAGTTAATAATGACATAACTTTTTTTAATTGTTAATTTTTTTTTTCTGAAAAGTATTTTTTTTGTGTGTCGTTGCGCTGTCATGTTGGAATTCTAAGTTTTGTACCGTTTGAAAAATGATCTAGCTGTAGGTAAAAATTTATTTTCCTCTTTGTAATTACACTGGTTAAATTAATATTTTGAAATCATATACTCTTACGATAAATTTTTTTTTCAACATCTTCGTTTCTAACAAGGCTGCAAGCAACCACTATTAGAGTTGGAAGTTACTGCAAGAGAAAAGATGAAGTTTATAGAACAAGATAACGATTGACAGACGACTTAAAAGATAGCAAATTATCTGAATCAGGACATCAAGATGAAGGGAAACGAATTCCAAAGAACTGATGTTCGAGGAAAAAACAAAGAGTTCTTAGAGTAGTACGGAATTGTCAAAGAAAAAGTATGAGACTTTATTGAATGACGAGTAACACGAGAATGAATTTTAGTAGATGGCACTAGAGACGCTAGCTATTTAGAGCAGTGCCCAGTATAGTATTTGTAGAAAAGAAAAAAAGAAGCAACGTCGCGACGATGTGATAATGGTTGGATTTTTGCTTCAAAAGCAGGTCCAACTATGTATTCAATGCGTTTTTGCACCTTGTCTAAAAGAGAAAGAGCATCATTGGAAGATCTGTCCCAAATATTGCAATAGTATTCCATACATAGACGAATTTTAGATTTATAGAGATAAAGTTTAGAATACAGAGTAAGAAAGTATAGAGCACGATAAAGAGATGCAACCTTAGCAGATGCTAATTTTACAATCGAATTGATATATAGTTTCCAAAAAGATCGGAAGTAAGAGTTAATCCTAGAAGATGAAGGGTAGATGACTAATCAAGTACATTACCATTTATAAATTTAAGAAGATCTAAATTATTACGATAACAATTCGTCAAAAAAAGTTGGATTTTATCTGAATTAAAGTTCACCAGCCACTGCAATCCCCATGCTATAGCAGAAGTGAGATCCTTCTCAATCTCAAATGCTCCCTCCAAGCAATCAAAGAGAGTTGGTTTCTTATCAAGACAAGAATAAGTGGCAGTATCATCAGCGAACAATGCCACCTTAGGTGTGAGAATATATAAGATCATTAATATAAATTAAAAAGAGTATAGGGCTAAGAATAAAATTTTGAGGAACCCTTGAAGTTACAGAATTTGAAGAAAAGTGCTGTCTATCGAGGACAACTTTTATACTATGATTGATAAAGATTCAATAATCTTAAATAGGTTACCTGATACACTGTAAGAAGAAAGCTTATGCAGAAGACCAACATACCAAACTTTATCAAAAGCTTTAGAAATGTCATGAGCAATAGCCATAACCTCTCCACCTCTATCTAATGCACGGTAAAACCTATTGGTTATTACTGCTAGCAAATCAGCAGTAAAACGAGAAGATGGAAATCCATATTGATGATCAGAAAGTAAGTTATTAGATTCAAGATGAGAGATTAAGTGTTTGATAATTAAAGATTCAAAAGCCTTGCTTATAATAGGAAGAAGACTAATGGGACGGTAGTTAGACGAGTCAGATCTCTCATTAGAATTTTTGAAAATAGGAATAACAGATGCCGCTTTCTAGCAGGCTGGAAAACAAGACTCTGATAAGCACTTGTTAAATAGTTTTAAAGGTATAGACAAAAACTCCAGAGAACTCTTTTACAAGACAAGTATGCTGTCCGGACCACAAGCCGTAGAAGAGTCTAAGCAGAAAATTACTTTTGATACAGTAGCTGGAGTGACACGAATGTCAAGCAAAGGATTAACTTGTTTGTCAGCTATATCAAGTAGAACACGACTAGTGGAATCAAGAGATGATATTGATGAAAAGTTCTTAGCAAATAGTCTCAGCTTTGTCTTTAGGTAAGGTGATAAATCTGATCCGTACAAGAGAGGTGAAATAAAAAATTTGCCCTTATTATTGATACTGTTAAAGATTCTTCAGAAGTCACGAGAGCCTAATTTTTAAGATGAAATACGAGATTTCATGACCTGAGAATAGCGGGCTTTGGCATTAGACTAAACCTTTTTACAATGGTTTCTAGCAATAGTTAACAGACGTATGTTTCCTGGAGAATTGATTTGCTGATAGATATGGAAGTAATGGTTTCTGTTGTGATTTTAATGTGCGTAAATAATTTGTCAATAATAAGGTTAGTTATTGACAAAAGTCACACGTTGCATATTTTTATTATTATAACGTTTTGTATAACGATCATTAATTTTTGACAAGAGTCAAAAGTTATATTTTTAAGTCGTTTAGAG